ATAACCTTTCATCCCTGCTCTATACTAGCTGCAATCCGCTCCTAGTGAACGCGGAGCTTTTACACTCACTGAGTAATCTGTTTGCTGCTAAGCCCTCTGAACTCCGATTTCTCTTGGCAAAAAACAAGCAACTCCCTTTGAGCAAAAACACATATTCCACCTCTGTCAGATAACACTGCAAAACACTTTAGAAGATGCACAGAATTTTGCAAGAGATTTCACGTCTGAAAACAATTAGGAGGTGGGGGGGGGGAGAGGGGATGGGAACAAGCAAGCAGTGAAGCATAAGCTTTTAAATGTGTATCAGCATTACAGAGGTATACAGTTGTAAGGTTATAGTGCTAAGTATTACACTATAGTATGAATAACAGTGATATATCTCAAATTATATTTACAACAGAGCATTCTACTAAATCATTTTAAATTTTGTTAATACTTACAGTAACTGCCATAATAAAATGTATTTTTCTTATTACTTTTCTTTGTTTTCTTACTTTTTCCTCTATTCTAATCCAATATACCTTGCTATAGACTGGGTAAATAGGGTTAATAGCCTCCAGTTCTAAATCAGAGTAGATTTTCAAATGAGCTGAGTGCTCCTGTAGCATTTGGAAATTTGGAAGTGAGGAGTTAGTCAGTATGCAGTGCCCTCTACTGATCAGCTCAATGAAATCATAAAAATAGTACAAAACTTTTTCATATTCACATTTCTTGATATTTTAGCAAAGAAAGAAAGATGATGGTGGCAATGGTGATTTACAGGAATTGGCAATCCTATTTTTAGCCACCACATCCTTCTAGGTAGGGCTTCTGAAACTTTTTCCTTGAATTTGCAAAATAAATTAGACAAAACAGAGACATTTGGGAGCCTAGACTGTATACCAGAAAATGATGTTGGCAAAGTATCTCTAGTAACTTTAGTCACTAATCTATAATGTCAAACCTCTGTTTTCATCATCTTTAAAGAAAAATTAATAAAACAAGAAAGTACTGAAAACATAAAACTTAATGCTTATTAATACCGCAGCTTTGTATGTTATCTAACTGCAGGCTAATGCAAAACTCAGATTGTCTACAGTTATTCAAACCTGGCCAAAATGTTGCTGTATTATTTCCTAATAATCATTCCTCTTGGTAAATCTTATTAACAGCAACAACAGATAACCGAAACATCTGGAATTATCACATCTACTATAACAAGAAAAGGATTTTTACTAAGAAATAACACATAGCATAAAATTAGTAGGGAAATCTTCATGCTCTGACCTGACTCAGCAGGACAAGGGTACTTTTAGGGAGGGGTAAAAGAAGCAAAGTCAAAGCTCCTAGTCACAGCAGGCAGGCAGTCACCTGGGACATTGCTTTGGGTTTTCTGGTTCTTCATGAGTTCTTCTTCAGTCTTACTATGTTGTGCAGTATACAAAACAGATTCAGTCACAGCTGTGGATCATTACTGGACTGGTGAGATAGCCCCACAGCTGAAAAATGCATAAATACATAAAAGGGCCATTTATTTCAAACTAATATATTCATTTAAATCAAATGCTGGTTACACTCTACTTAGAGGGCAGCAGCAGGCTCCCTGAGTGGGAAGGAGAGGGTATATTCAAAACACATCACATCCTCAGTTGCGGAAGGGCTTCTTGAAGTCTATCACAGTTAAGGACTTCTCTAAGCAAGATCAAGCCAAAAAATTGAGACCGCTCCGGTTTCAAGAGCCTCAGACTACACATGCTCTTTCACTCCACTGAGATTTGCTTAGAGCTGGTCCAGCTGTATTTAGATCAACTTTGTTTGGTGACATCAGTGTTGAACTCTGAAGGGATTCATCCCCCCCAGCCACAGCCTCCCTTCATATCGATGTGAGCAAAACAGCAAACAAAAGGAAAATATACTCAGGTTTTAAAAGGCAGTCAGATTTCTCTGCCACAGGAAAAGGAAAAATTCAATTCATCCGCCACTGGGTGTTCCTGTGCACAGAATTAAAAAGTGAAACATTGGCCTGGAAAGCACCACTGAATCTCCTTTTTCTGCATATTTCTCTGGTCCATGCTACCTGTCTACATTGCTATCTTTGCTTTTACTGCACACTCTTTACTCTTATTTACTAGTGCAAATCAGTAAAGAAATATTTAAAAAGGCGCTCATCTCATTTTAGAAGAGAAAAAGAAAGCAGATCTGTATGGGACGTTCCAGAGCTATTGTAGCCTCTCTTTTGAAAAGCCCTGCTGTCAGTTATTGCAGATAATATTTGTCACTCCAGGGTAATGGTGAGACCAAGCAGTGCTAGCAGATTTCCGGGACTTGCTTGTTTCCATCAAGATAGTCAGTTTTGATACCTAAGTGATCCGAAACGTTTTTGAGCTCTACCCATTGCTACATTCAGAAAAGTCAGCACTACCTCTCTTTTTAAAACAGATTTGAAGACTGATGCTTCATGCAAAATATAAGGTAGCCTAGCCATAATCTTCTGAGAGGCTGTGTCGAGTGAAACACCAGCAGTACCAAAATCAGACACTATTCGCATATCTGCAGTAGTAAAGTTTTATAGAATAGGATGAAATATCTGTTTGAAAATGTAAACTTCCCCATCATTGCTCACTTTATTGTCACATTTATTAGGAATGTAAACCAATGTTGCATCCTCAAAATACACAAACCATACATGGTGCCATGTTGTATCCAGCACTGCATAGTTTAGAGTAAGATAAATATGAAGGATTATAATCATGACAAGTTTATGAAGCTTAATATTTCCACTACTGTTATAGGACAAGGAGAAAATGTCACAGTTATGATTGCTTTGCTATATTAGAAAATGCATCCAAGCAATCATTTTGGATAATATGTTTACACTTCTACAAAATAAACACCAGATGTTACTAATAATTTATAATCTTCTCCCTAAGTAGGACACATATTTAAGAAAATAAAATTAATATATGAATTAACAAACTTGTGAAGAAGTCTAGCATATCATAATTCCCAAAACTGAAGAAGCATTCTGAAATCACTTTTTACATGTTGTTTTCCAAATCATATTTTCAGATTTAAACTTAAAGATGAGAAGACTAGCTCTTTAAATATCACTCGTATTTTTGGTGCATATTGCACCATTCTTGCTCATTCGTACATTTTTTTCAGTCAGCTTAAAAGTTTTCTTATGTAAGCTCAGTGTAAATGCAAATCCAGTCCCATTACATTTATTATGAGTAAGTATTTATGATGCTGTGTGATTACCCCTTTTATTACTTTTTTCTCTAGGAAGTGCTTAAAGAGGAGGTTCCTCTGACGTTTTCTACAGCTGGATATGATGATTTTATTCACCAGAGTGACCAAAAAGTCATATATTGCACAGCACGACAAAGATACTAAACTGCTTAAGGACTACTCAGCTTCTAATAGTTGTTACAAACATACAATTTTATTGTTTAAGTGTCAGTGGAAACTGCCAAAATTTTTCAGGAGGTTTGGATGTCCACTTTGCTTATATAGCACTGAAGATTTCAATGATAATATTTTCTTCTGAGATGGATTTCACCAGCTACATAGACTTAACTAAGCCCCATAACTACATACTCAACCAGCTGTGTAACAACTGGGCATTTTCAGAAAGGGACTGACAGGGACCCAGGCAGTCATCGAGAAATTAGGTACAAACCCCATTAGTTACAAGAAACTGGTGGAAAGCAGGAAAAACTTTCATCAGAGACATCTCTGTATTTCTCCAACACCTGAAAATGTTGTCTACGCAATCTGTATTACATAAATGTTCACAATGACTGTAAAGAAACACATTGCTGTTTACTGACTTCTCCAGAACTGGTGTTCCCTTAGTGATACATTCTCTATCAAAGAAAAGAGGACACTGTGAAAGGGTGTTTCTTCATATCCAACGGGTCCTGCTGAGGAACATGCCCCAGCATGGGCCTCGCAGATTAATTCTGTCTGAAGAAGATGAGGTACCTGCCTGCACCTCTTGACAGCAACTGTCTGCTTCCCTCCGTTAGTCAAAAAGCTGCCAGAAAACAAGATGCTTCAGTTAAGTGCAACTTCCAATCTGCATCCAGAACGTACAGAAGTTACTGAGTTCTGAGACTATGTGAAAGGGCTCTAATGATTCTTCATGACACGATTTATGGAGTTACGGTCCCTGCTTCTTGCCACTCCTCCCCTGTCAAAATTCACAACTCCGCTGCAGAATCGGCTGAAGCAAATCAGTTCTTGCATGCTAGCTGCTCTGGCACACAGCCTATTTCTGTCTAATTTTCCTACAGTGATAAGACAATCAACTTTGGCTTTATCTGCCTTTTGTTATGCCAAAACAGAGTAGAAGAATACATTCAATTTTTTTTCAGTCTAATGCCAAACAAGTTCAAGACCTCTTAAGAAAAAAAATTCAGGGGAAGTAAAGCAAACAAAGAAACAAGAATATGACATAATCAGTTACACATCTGAAGGACATTAATTTGCAATATAATGTGTGATTTAAAGTCTTGCTTTTACTAATTCATTAGTCATTCCCACTACTGGCACTATGCATTTCCTGTAGAAGTGACTCTTTTGCACTAGGTATCACTCATGTCTAACCAGAGATTCAATCTCACATCTGAAAAATCTCAACAAAATGCTTAATGAGCTACAAATATTTCAAGGAAAATTTTGATTCCAAAAATCAGCATATTTGAAGAGAAAAGATTCCAAAAATTCCAAAATAGATCTAATTATTTTCTGCATCAGAACTGCACAGACAAACAATGGATTCTGAAGGAAAGGTACAGTACACAAATTAGAATCATAGCACTGTTTTAACTACAGTCCCTTCCAAAGGTGGAGGGGAAAGAAACAGAGGATACACGGGCTTTCATACTTGAGAGGCTTCCTATCAATAAGCCAAATCTGTTGTCACTTTGCCATGGATATGTCAGGAATTTAGCATCTTCAAACATCTTTAGATTATGTAAACAGAAAGGACAGTGTGAAATAAATTTAGCAGATTGTGCCTTGTAACTATACCTGAATCCCAGGGATGATCCCAGCCGGCTTGAACTCCAGCATCCGGTCTGGTGAAACAGCTTGCCATACTGCAAGGGCTCAAGTGCTTTCCCCTCTGTCTCTTCATACTTGTAGTGCTTCTTTAGAAAGCTTTGTTCAGAGGGATTTTTTTCTGCTAGAAAAAAAGACAGATAAAAAGACAAATAAAAAAAGACAAATAAAAGAGAATTATTGTCTGAGGGAGAGAAAAAGAATTATGGTCAGTTCAAAACCACTCATCTTAAGGCAGCCAGTTATTCTCTTTTCAAATTCTCTCTGAAATAAAGAACCATCGAAAAGTTTCTGACCAAGCTAATTCCATAAAAGAGTTACCTCTCTTGTCTATTATGATTAGTACTTGGTGTCAGTATAGATGTACTCGATAAATTCCCAGAGATCTGTGACTTTCCAAACAGAAATATAGCAAATAATACCATTTACTTTCTGCCTCCTTTTTCCTCAACTGTGAAAATTACATTTTCTCTAGCACATTACTGGTCAAATTCTGAAGTCAACGCGATTGCTAAGGTACCAATAAGTATAGTTCAGTCCACTGGGATTCCAAAAAGGAGTTAGGCTGGAGCTGTGCTGTATTTTTAAAAATTGCTAAAAGTGTGTGGGGGAGAGAAGATAAAATTAAATAGGCTGGATCATTTGATGCAAAATTAGTTCTGCACAGATTTATGACTCTACCTGCTGTTATGTCTCAAAGTTAGGCCAGTCGGAAGCTCCAGAAACCGTATTACGGATAAAGAATCACTTGAAACTCTGGCACATCGCAGCATGCTTCTCTACCAACTAGATCACAGCACACATACATGTTCAAATCAAGAAAGACCTCTGAGTTCTGACAATTATTTTAATAAATCTTTTCCTATGAGAACAGGAAAAAATGTTCCAGGTAAGGGAAGTACCCTCGGTTAGACTCTGGATCAGGTAATAGTTTGATTCATTCAAGTGTCATTTTTATCTTCAAACCAATATCAAGTGAATGCAGTGGTTAAATGTCTTCACTACATAGTTGTCTTTTTTTTCTCTCTCTCTCCAGTTATTCCTTCCTGTTAGGAAAGTGGCTCCTTCCAGCACCATCAGAAGCAACCTAGGGAGAAAATAATACACCATACCTTTCACTTCACAGCTGGCTGAGGTATTTGAGGTGTGATGTTGCATATGACTGTGACTTCTTTCAGTGTATAGTGTTCCATACCTCCATTACTATTTAAATTATAGCTCATGTGCTGATGATTCAGATATTCATGCTGATGATTCAGACATTCATCTGAACACCCCTCAGTAGGCAGCAAATCACAAGTGAACACAGTTATAAGAACAGGGTTACAAATACATCAATTAGCAAAGAATTCAAAGGTGGGTCACTGCCTGTCACACTAGTAGCGGCACATAACAGCATAGAAATATTTCTAGAAGTAATTTTAAGCACTGGAGCTAGTGGGATTTGTCATAATGTATTTCAGCACAAATTTCAGAACATGGTAGTGTTGTGTTTACTACATTTTAACCACAAAAGCCAAACATCAGCCCTTCATCTACAGCCAAAGCAATCACTAGATCAGCACTGGTGAGCCAGTTTGAACCAGCTGATCATATGGAGCAAATTTTAGAACCGTTTAGCTGTTTATTGAATATAATCCCAGTAGTCACTTTGAATCATTTGTTCAGCACTCCCTATATTACTAATTTTGAGGGATTTGTTTGTTATTTTCAACAGGCTGATGATGCAAGTCAATACTCTTAGAGCCACTTGGTGCTTATTTGGCTTTTATATTCGAAACAGTATCGGTGTTAATGATCTCAGTCTTCCAAATGCTATTTCTTTTTGGTTTTGAGTCACAGGTGTTCTTCATGACTTTCACATTTTATTTCTGCTATTTTTGATTACTCATTTTACATTATGTTATTTTTACTTCACTAAAAGAATACCGGAGACCTTTTACAGATTCCTTAGCTTCTCAGGCATTGCAGCACCTACCTCTGTGAGGAGGTAAACAAACGTATTCACACATAGCACTGAATTAGAAATTTTAATTCTCTCACAGAACATTTAAATCATCTGTGCACAGTTAGAAACATTTACAACTGAAGTGAGACAAGAAAAAAATGCAGTCTTAAGTGATGAAAAATAGGTCACCTCCTATAGTGTTGCGTGACCTAAAGGATGTACAATGGAAAATGATTTTCTGAGAGCTCAGATGAGTGTTGTGCAAAAGATACGACACCATGAAGAAAGATACAGAACGTTTGAAACACATATCAACATATAGCTTATCTTATAGAAGAGGAGGAAAGGACACTGATTTTCGCTTCTATGTAGTTCATCTGGACTATAGGCCAGCTGAGACCACATCCATGTGGGCTGAGGTTGGCATCATTACTTAAGCACTATCATAAGATAGTAATTCCAAACTGTAAAGCAATTATTCCAAAATAATACCTTTCTGACTATATTATTAAAGTGAATATGAAAATTCATATCCTATTTAGGAGGGGGAAAACTAGGTACTTTTCAATCCTATATTCATTTATTCCTTCTTAAACACAATAATTACTCTCTAAATAATTTGGAAAGATTTCTACTTCATTTTAGATTGCATTAATTGAAAGTCTTTCATTTTATACTTAAAACATTGAAGGTCAGATGCCAGTCTTCAAGAAAATACAGAAGACGATTGTCACTTACAGATGAAAATATGCTTCTCAATCTGAGAAGAAAATCACTTAGTGTTTTTCTGAAGGTTTTTACTCAATTCTTCATTCTTAGTTTGTTCTTTCCTCCTCTTCCTTCACATCCATTCTTACAGACAAAACCATTGCAAGGGATTTTCTACTAACAACTTTTACTTGTAATGACTGATTAACATTTTGGAGAAATCTATGTAAAAAAGTTAACAGTCCCTATTCTAAACAACTAAAACTCTATATGTCTCATGTCTAAGACTTATGTAATATATTTCATTGCTCATTGCATGGTAACCTCTATTTTGTTCAATTACGGTGTCTACTTTAATCTGCTTACTCCGGCATAAAGACACACCAGTTAAGCATCAATTCTTTAATTGTTTTGCTATAAATAATTTAATTAATTTAGTTAGTTTGTTTATGACTTTCGTGTGACTAGTTAAAGTTATTATAGGTGATATTGTGTGCTAGCACCATAAAAAGTTTACATTCCTAACAATACGCAAGTTATATGATAGCTGAAGTGTAACTGTGACTGTAATGCTTACCACCCCCACGTGAGCAGAAGTAAGAGAAATGCCATATCAAAGTCTACATATATAAAGATTCTCCTATAAGAAGATGTTTTTCTTTTATCCTAAGTTTAGAAATCTGTGTGCTGGTTAGATATTTACATTATTCTACTGCTCTTTCCTTATAGTTGCCAGGATTTTATTTCCATCATTCATATTATAATATCATAGTTGTTGTGCTGTCAGGTTCTAACTTTGTAGCTATTGTAAAAACACCGTCTGAAATGTCTTATAAGAATACTTACTGTCTACTCTGCAAGAACATAACCTTAACATATCAATATATTACAAGTGTGATTGCTTTTAATTCATATAAATATTTTCATTCATACTGATGATAAAGCTAAATCGTAAGCTTTTGTCTGAAGTCCTATTCTTTAATTTTCATCTTAATTCTCATGTATATGAGAAATTAACAGTTTTATGTAAATCTTTCAAAAATACATTTCATTTGTGTGCTTTCAGAACAATCATTGCCATAGAACAAAATATAAATCGTAAGTTACTTTAAACAACAAATATAAAATTGGACCACAGCCAGTCTTTGGAACTATTTTGTAAGCTGATGTGTATTGTGTGAAGTTCTGCTTATACCCCCTACCAAAAAATAAGTTTTCTATTTTCTAATAGGAATTAATTTTAAATCTCTACTAACTTATTTGGCCTACTACAGGCTAGATTGCAGAAGTCTGGAACTTCCTTGGGTTCAGAGTGGTGGCTCCCACGCCAGCTTCATATCAGCATCCAGTACATATAGTGCTGATAGTGCTCTTCCAGCACTGTATCTGTATAAATTTTTCATGCCATTAACAACAGAACTAGGCTGTAAGACTGGCAAGCGCATAGTTTTGCCATGATGATTACACAACAAAGTTTAACTAAGGAGGAGAAGAAAAGTTTGATAGATATCTTTCCACTCAGAGTCCCGAATAATATTGTCTTTATCATCACTTCTTATTGAAGGAAGAAACATCAATGGATGTTTTTTTTCCTCCACAACTTAAGTATATGCTACTTGATCCTCCTATCTACTCATATCTACTCGTAGCTACTACTTTCCTAAGCCACAAAATCAGCAATGTTACTGAAAGGAAAGCTGTAGCTAGATATGCCCATAAAGCTCTTGAAGATTTTGAAAATTCATTTGTATATGTTCTTCATACGACAGAGGGCTCCTGCTCTCACAGAAAGGGTGGATCTCTTCAGGGAGCTTTCCCAAATCTTTTTAGATAGGTTATATTGCCCGAAAAAAAATGATTTGATGATCTGCTATCAAATATTTTACTTCCCATTTTTCAAGTTAGATGCGTAGAACCCTCTTTTCGTTTATAATGCAGGCATGTATTACACTTTAATTACTAAAGAAACAAAGTATTTTCTTCAAATACTTTCTCACTGGAATTTTAAGTCTTTTTGAGGTCATTTTGATCCTGAAGAAGATTTTTTTAATTCAGAAAATGCTTTGGATCCCATCTACTGACTAAGGAAGAAAGAAGCTAACAAAAACAGTATTTTGCTTGTTGTCATCCCTAGTTAACACTCAAAAATTCCTGCAGTGGTTATGATGCACAGGAAAACACAATTCTGTGAACTCAGGAAGGAGCAAAAATAAGGATAGGAAGAGAGAAAGTGGTATAGTAGAAAAAATAAAATTAGCTGAAGAAATATAGGACAGATCTTGAACAGCATCCTCACATTTTTAACTATGCAGTGAAAAAAGTGAGGGTATATAAAGTTATACCATGAGATAGATCAGGCCAATCTCATGATAAATTTGATAAAGAAGGAGGACATTATCTTACACTCAGATATGAAAGCAAAGTCAATATTTTCTCTTCCTTGATGCTTTCCAGTATGTTGCAATTGGGTTTTTTTTCTTTTTTTTTTTGTATCATTGATGATTTTAACAGATCAGAGATCAGTCAATTAAAATTATTAAAAGGGATCTTGTGAGACAGGTCCCCTGTAAACATTTAATTAAGCTCTCTTTTCCCATATCTCTTTTTCCTGTAATGCTCTAGGCCATTCCCAGGCCCATTACCAGTGGCAGCTTTCGTTAAGCACTCTTTTCAATTTTGAGAGCTTACTGATATTTTGAAATAAGAATAATAGCAGGGTTTTTTTGGTGCAGCATGGATACTCCAAGGGGAAATCATGCTTAACCAAGCTGATAGCCTTCTCTGATGGAATGACTGGCTGGGAAGATGAGGGGAGAGCAGTGGCTGTTGTCTACCTGGACTTCAGCAAGGCTTTTCACACTGTCTCCCATCACATCCTCGTAAACAAGTTCAGGAAGTGCGGGCTGGATGAGTGGGCGGTGAGGTGGATTGAGAACTGGCTGGATGACCGAGCTCAGAGGGTTGTGGTCAGTGGCACAGAGTCTAAGGGTCTAGTGTAGCCGTTTAGCCCCATAGCCCAGAGAAAGTTCCAATAACTGTGGCCGTCAATCAGCTTGGCCTTTAAGCGACCCCAGGGTCAGTATCTCCAGCCTAACTGGCCAAGGGGCTACCCCGGGTGCTCTGCTATTTTGGAGGACCTTACATCCAAGTCCTCCAAAAGGTCCGCATTCAAATGAAGGATCGGCAAAGGACCAACCAGCACACGCCACGTGCCAATAGGTCTGCCTACAGCCACCATTGGGCTGCCTATAAAAGGGCTGCAGCTGCATGGTGTGTGTGCGAGTGTGCGGTGGTAACGGCGGTGGAGTGAGACGAATTCTTAACTAAAAAAGAAAAAACACCCCAAAACTATGAAATTTTTACTTTCCTTACTTGCAATTAAAACATGTTTATTCTTGTTCTGTGCTCCCCAGATATACAGACTAGTTCATCCACTTTCTTTTGCAGTAACTTCATTCAGATTTAAAGGCTGTTGTCACAAACCTTCTTTTTTTCTGCCTCTAAACTTAAACAC